GGGGAGGGAGCCTCTGGGGCAGCCTTTACCTGACACATTGGGCGCAAAGAGCAGAAGAGCGGCACGGACGGACGGACCGACCCTTCTTCCTGTCTCACTCGCCATACGCGGCGCGGCCTTTCCGGTGCACTGTGCAGAGTATGGCGCGCGAAGCGGGTGAAATGTATTTTTTGCATAAACTTTGCCATCGCTCGAGACTTTGTGACACACAGCGCTGCCGACCCTCAGGGGTTGTTGTTGGCGCTGTCGATGTCACGGCGCTGTGATGAGCAGTGAGTCGGCCTGTCGTCGCGCATTGGCTGCGATGGCGACAGGTGGGGGGCGCCGTGTTTGGCAGGGGCGATAATTGGACGCCGGTGGGCTCGCCGCGCCCGCACTCTGCGGCGACTGTGCACAGTGGGAAATGTTGCGTCGCCGTGGAAGCTGCTGCTTTTGCGTTATCCAGCTTTCAAAGTGCGAGAGGCTGCATTTTATTTTTGGCGGGACGGGAAACACTTCTCTGAATCCCGAACAGAAATTTGCTTTGCAAGTTGCATCCAAAAAGAAACATGTTTGATAAAGGAAATTTAAACTTGAGGAACATTTAATTTCACCCTCTTCGAACGTTTCCACAATAGTTTTATTACTATATTACTATTAACACTGAAAACAGCGTAATAACGCATGTTATCACTAGATGATAACGCTGTGCGTATTTCATTTTTTGTGGAATATTTTCTAAACGAGGTCTGAGGTTTAATTTTCAAACAAGCCTTCATGTGATAGGGTTCGGAGTTCAAATAATAATACGGAATAAGACGTGATCTTAGAGAACCTTTGTTCACCGTTTTTGTGCACCGCGTTATCATCTAGTGATAACATGCGTTATAACGCTGTTTTCAGTGAATAGTTTTATTACTATAGTGATATCCAATAATATATTATTGGATATCGTTCTCGTTGATCGCGTTCGTGTTTCTCATTTCGATCCTTATGTTTTATTATAAAAAGGTGAACGAGCATTGCGCGCAATGTCATGTCTGAACGCTGTGTATGTGGACGTTTCTTCTTCATCTCAATGCCTGTGTTTTGACAACTGCTCCCGACTGCTCCTGTCCCAAATGTCCAATCAATCAATCGGCAATTCTTCTTCTTCTTCTTCTTCTTCTTCTTCTTCTTCTTCTTCTTCTTCTTCTTCTTCTTCTTCTTCTTCTTCTTCTTCTTCCTCTTCCTCTTCTTCTTCTTCTTCTTCTGTGTTGCAACGGAAGATGATAAACATTATAACATAACAGGCCGATAAAGAACAGTTTTGATAAAGCAACTTTCTGTAATTGTTATAGCCGGGCAATAGTGCCAGTGAATGGAGTGAGTTGCCGCGCTGAGCGAAGGCCCTAGACGACAATATTGAAGGCCTAAGGTTGTGTGTGAAATATGGCACAAGCGTGAAATAAGAAAGTATTTAAACAGCAGTCAGCCCCCTGAACCAGCCCGCTAAGCTCCTATTTCAGTTTTTCTCGGGTTTAATGCCGAGTGGACCATTGGCGCCGTTCTTTCTTCTTGTTCTATACTGTACCGTATACAGGCGTGCGGGCGGGAGGGCTTGCCGCTCACCGAGGCGCCTTACAGCGCTGTGCAAGTATGCAACCCGTTCGCACGCCTACAAGTTTTCTTGATAACAACGACTTAATCCATTCGAAGAAACTGCACCTGTTTCAAATGCCCTTAAAGCTAGAGAGAAATAGTTGGAAATCGAGTGTGAATTTATCACCCCCTTCGCTTCGCTGAGCCTACCTGCGGCCCGCGGGGCGGCCAGGCCAGGCCTCTGGGCCGCAGTTCGCACGACACCCTCCTGACCCCGCCTGATGCGCCTCAGATCTCGTGCCCGAGCTTCTCCAGCCCGGCTCCTGCGGTGTCGAGTGGCAACTGTTGAAACGGGATGTGGGGTTCGCACACGCCGCCGCGCCGCCCTCCTACGCTCAGAGCAGTAAATTTTTCTTACAACAAACGGACGCCCTTTTCCCCCCTCCCAGTCTGCAGCTACGTCTCAACGCGGCGGGCTTCTTGCCGCCGGTCTCGCGCCCGGATCACGGTGTCATTTCACTTACCTGTGGTGGGTCAATCGCATCCCCGCGCACTGTCAAAATGAGGTCTTGCGAAGTGTCGCGATGATTTAGTGCATCACCAAGCACTACTACTAATACTTAGTACGTTTACTTGATACTTTTAATACTTTTAAATAAAGACATTTTGTGACTGATGGCTATTTTTGTTTTTATTAATAGTCAAGTTGCAAGCTAGTTTTACGATTTAGAATGTGTGGAACTGCTTGTTAATTAGTAGCCGCTTGGCGCCCAGCGGCACAGTGGCACCCGCACGTACGTCCAGT